TGAGGACATTACTATGGCATACCAATGCATTGTCTATAGTTGATAGGTCTACCTAAATCATTTAACCTTTTTTTGGAATATTTTGTTTTGTAAAGTAATGTGTTATTAACATTATCTACTCAGATTGACAGCATTAAGGCTCAATGGTGTATGTACACATGAATCTGTAGTTTCAATAACTCATATGTATAATGAAAAATCTACTCCTCATGTCACTGTGAGTACTGAAAGAGTTCTTGTCGGAAACAAAATATACAAACTATTTGGGGAAACATTCGTCAAGCTTCATACATTAGTTATAGATGTCGTATTTGAGACATATAAGATTAGTAACGTGTTTTTATGGCCTAATGCAAAAGCCATTTATACATTTTCTTTTTTCAAATAATGTTATCAATACTATAGACTCAGATTTACATTTCTTTTTAAAGCTAAACAAGACATAAACATGAAATTGGAATTTTCAATCACTGAAAAATACTGTTTTTAAAATCTACTTTTCAGCTATTATTTAGTCCCCCAAAATGATTTTAGAAATGTTTCAATGTTTTCAAAAGTTTTTTCGTTAATTTCTTGAGAAAGAGTCGCAAGGCTCCATATATTCTGTAGCGTATTTTAAACAAGGATTTTTCGACAACTGATTAAATGTGAACTCAACTTTCTCAATCTTCGCGAATATCTGTAGTCCAAAAGGTCTGCATTTTTATAGAATCATAATTGTTCAGATTGATTTCTATTTGTTTTGTGACCAAAACAAATGTCTTAGGTCGTTATATTAAATTTAGGATTCCGTTTAATTCCTTTAAAGTGTTCTACCGAAAAGAACATTGACCATCAAAACATAGAGAAAAGAGCCCCTTTAAGTGACAGTGTGAGATCAAGAAGTTTAAACAACAAATTTTCAATATGTGTACATGACTTAATTATTTGTAATTGATAACAAATTGAATATTTCTGAATGCTAGCATTAAACAGGTTTGCTTCCGTCAATTAACAAACTTAGATGGATTGTACACTGTGATTACACCATAGAAGCAAGCTGTGGCTGAATGGGAATGGCATGACTCAAGAATAAAGCGTTTAGGGAGGGAATAAAACTCTCTCATCATTTCGTCGGTTATATATAAGGTTGCTGAATTTTGTCATAGGTTTCACTACGTGCAGACGAAGTTATTGTTGAAAGTAGATGTCGCCCTCTGTTAAAAAGATTTACTGTTTAATAAAACAGCGCCCTCTTAATTTCTACGAATGCTACGGGCAGTTATTTTGGACTAAAGTGGTGCCTTCTTTTATGAGAATTTGGAGATTAAATTTTACTAACTAAATATCTTTGCGTTGAATGATTTTGTTCTACGGATGCAAGGGTCACACACGTTCACTTGCGCAAAATACCTGCGTATACGAGAATGTACGGGCACTGGAAGTGGCACTGCGAAGTCTATTTGTATCTTCCTTCAGAAGGTTTTGTGAAAACAATAAGCGATTATTAGCGGTGGGTGCAACCGAATATTGCGCCTGTAGCTTGTGAGGGCTGGTTGAAACATGTCATTTGAGGGCGCGCAACTATGAAACTGTGCTCGTCCAAACCGCTCTATATCCATGACATTTACTTTCTTTTGAAGTCCAATTAGATACATTTTGGGCGGCACGTGACCAATGGTCGGCACATACATGTTTGTGCACACGCGAGCCGTACGCACAAAAAGCGGCCTTTGATTGGGTTTTGACTTCGGAACCAAACAGCATCTTTGTTTTAGCTCATCGCTTGAAACAAGGCTGCAGTTCGAGCTACGTCACGACCAGGAAACAAATCGGTAAAACATGCAGCAAGCATACCGAGGAAATGACGTGTACCGCTATTACATATATAGACTGAAAACGTCTGCGGTGACCCCGAGACTCTTTCGTGCCGAGTGTGGGACTGGAAGGGGAATTCCCCGGCACTGTGATTGTTCCGTATAAGAAGGGACTTAGGCAATAGACTGAAATTTAATACACACATGGTTGACTTGAGCTTTATCAAGTGTGCAGCCTCTAATAAGGCCCCCTTAGGGGCCCTGTCACACTTCTGCGTATCCTTATTCCTTATGAGTTGCGCACTGACATTTTTTCATACGCAGTCGTACGCACAATACGCTCCTCATATGCATCTCTATCGTTTTTTGTAAGTTTTACGTATGCAGGCATACGCATGGTACGGCCCAGTACGATGGATAGTTTTGGGTATGCACAAAACTACGCTGCGTACGCTGTTACTCAGGTCATAAGTTATAAACACGCAGCGCATCGGTCCCGCATCGGTCGAGCGCGGTACGAGTACGCTATGTGTTCATATGGGGGATAAGCCGTTCATACGCGGTAATACGCTGACCTATATTATAAACGTATACGCTGAACGAACTCATATCGAATGCCGACGTATTGCACGAATTAGTACCGGTCGTCCTGTGGGCGGGCAGCACATTGTACTTATTCGTAACTTATGAGAAACGCACAGATAGCTTACTTACGCACTGCATACGCAACTCATACGCATCTCATACGCATTGGATACGCTGAATTCGTTACTTATTCGCTAGATGTACGTCGCACATCAGTCAAAGTGATCAAAACATTTCGACGTTAATTGAGCGTACGGCTGCGTATTGAACATTTTTGATAAGGAACTCATAAGGAATTAGGATACGCAAAGGTGTGACAGGGGCTTTAGGACACTGTCACAATTCTGCGTATCCTTATTCCTTATGAGTTGCGCATTGACATTTTTTTCATACGCAGTCGTACGCACAATACGCACCTCATATGCATCTCTATCGTTTTGTGTAGGTTTTATGTACGCAGATATACGCATGGTACGGCCCGTACGCAGGATAGTTTTGGGCATGCACAAAACTACGCTGCGTACGCTGTTACGCAAGTCATAAGTTATAAATGCGCAGCGCATCGGTCCCGCATCGGTCGAGTGCGTTACGAGTACGCTATGTGTTCGTGACGCACCCTGGCAGCAAATGAGCCACATATATTGGACGTATACATAGCGTACCTGCAGCGCAGACGCACGCTGGACGGCGAGCGGCGGAAATGTGGCGGGAATACGCTCAGAAGTGCGTCAAGCATGCGGTCGGCATAAGTCGGGTGCGTCCGGAATACGCTCGGCTTGCGCATTGCATACTGACCTATTCGCAGCCCGAAAAATAATGTTGTGCACTGCATACGCAACTCATACGCATCTCTTACGCAATGGATGCGCTGAATTCGTTACTAGTACGCTAGATGTGCGTCGCACATAAGTAAAGTGATCAAAACATTTCGACGTTAATTGAGCGTACGGCTGCGTATTGAACATTTTTGATAAGGAACTCATAAGGAATTAGGATACGCAAAGGTGTGACACGGGCTTTACACAGGGCTGCAACCTATGAGCGACCAAAAAATGGCCTGGACGCTCAATGGTCGCCTAAAACCAGAAAATCCTGTTTCTATGTAACTGCCCCAGCCATCCTTGTGCCTCCCTTGAACCACAAGAACTGCAATTTTCAGACGTTTTCAAGTCGAGCTACGAGCGACCTGTGCGTCCACCGAGCCACTTGCCTGCCTAGCTCCCCTGTGTGCGCGTCTACTGTGCAGCCTACGGCAACCGACGCAATTAAAGGCAACATAGGTGACCCCCGAGCAATGTTTGGGCAACCATTGAGCCTCCTCTTTGCCTCCTCTATGTCATCATCGGTGGCCACCGGAAACTAACGGCGATCACTTGTCAACCATTCAGCCATGCTTCTGCCTCCTATGCGACCCTTGAGGCACAAGGGAGGCAGAAGCATCGCCCAGATTGACGGTAAAATTTGCAACAGAACGAATCTATTACGTGGCGACCATAGGTCAACCATTGTGCATCCATTCTGCAACCATGGCAATGCTTGTGCTTCCCTTCTTGCCTCATTTAAGCCACATTTGAGCAACCAATCTCCTCGGCGACCTTAGTGCGACTGTTCAAAGTAAACACGTTCAAAACTTTACGGCGACCATGGCGTCCATGGCGATTACTGAACATCCTGGGTACCACCTTTGAACGACCTAGGCAACCATTCGGCCTCCTGTGAGCCTCCAACGGCGACCTGGCCAGTTTTATGGTCGCACAAGGGAGGCCCAAAGGTCGCAGCCCTTGTGTAAAGGGGGTAGTCTAACCTGGTATACCCACCTTCTGCAAGCTCTGCATCTGGTAGGAAATAAATTCGACCTGATTTTTGAGTCAGCATTTCCCAATGATAATTGAATGAAGCAAATCTCATTATGCACAATTTAAATCTCACTGTTCGTAAATTCAAGCAAACCCATTCTTACGAGGACAACACACAACTCGAGCAGAAATATCCATGTTCACCGAGCACAGACTTTCCATGCACGACCTGATCAAGTTTCGCAGAAATTTGGATGTTCAGCAGATGATAAAGAAGTTTTAAATTTAATTTAGTTTTCCGAATAGAATCACTCCCTCACATATTCTTTGAGGTATTTTTTTTTATCTTTTAAGTTGCAATTCTTAAAAAACTTTCCCTCAATTTGTTTAAATTCCATACTGTCGAATTTTTATCATAACTCATAATATAATTATTTCCCTGTTAGAGCTCACATTTGATAAACATGTGATCGCACCTTTCGTTTTTAAAAAGCTCTCTAAATATTTGTCATATTTTCTCCTGGTAGATAATTCCTATGTAGAGTTCAACCCTGATTTGCTGGATTATTTTTTTAATGATTATAGTTATTGTCACTGTTCCTGTGCTGGATTATTTTTTTGTCACTGTTCCTGTTCATTAAGGAAATAAAGGTCAGATAGCACAAATATTATTGATATATACGAGACTATCAATTGTTTAACAAGGAAAACAAGGAAACGACGTACTGCTAAGCCAGTGTTTGGTTTGGCACCCAGCCTCACTGGATGTTGACCCAAAAGAAATGAACTCATTTCCTTTCATGGACTGGTTGTCCATTTCTACTTTCTACTCTCCAGAAGGCATTCACGTCTATACTTGAATTGTTCTCCCATCGTAACTTCAATCTGCACGTGATCTTCATACGCTTTGCATACTTAAAACCACGCGTGTATTTCGCCTCTGAACGACTTGCGATCCACTTATGCAAATAGTATCCAAAACACCATGAGTTCATCAGCAAAATGTCGTCTCCTAGTCCCAGTGTTTGTTTGGGCTTGTGCCATTCTTCACAAAGGTAAATATACAACTAAAAATATCAAAATTACAAGCAGGAAGTAAAGAAATTAAAGATAAGTGTACATGTATTTGTGCCAATGTACATGTACATGTACATGTACATAAAGAATTGCCACCTTGAATGAATATTGGAAGATGTTCTTTGGCAATTTGGACAAAATAGTACTCAGACAAATATAATGTTATTTACAATACTTCAAGTTCAAGTATCCGAAACAATTCGTTGAATCAAATGTTTGAAAAAAAGTAGAAAAAGAAAACGAAGGCGGTGAAAACTTGAACGTGGGCACGTTGGAAATTTTGGCCCGATTGTTTATTAACGAGGCTTCGACTCGCCCGCTATGCGAGAGGGGGAGCTTTGCCGCGTGTCGCCCGCTACGCGGTCGAACGACTTGCGAACAACACAGATACTCAGGTTTGTTTACGGTGTAAATCGAGGATTTCCTTTTGTTCTCATCATCGTTCTTTTTTTCATTCAGCAACAGCTCCCATGTTTTTTGTACACGTTTTCTAATCAAGGACGTCCGCGATTTGATTCCTGTCTTGTATGTGTGTTCACATGTGTGTTTCCTCAATTTACACCATAAGAACACCCACATGAGTGTAATATGTTTCACGGTACCCTGTGGAGACATGGGTATAATAGGGAACAACGTCTCCACAAGGTTATCACGAAATAGATACATAAATTTTGCTCAAAAACTTGGAATTTTTAAGTTGTGTCCTCTTTTGTTCAGCGTCCTCTTTATAATATAGTACAGTATATTTCATTTTTAAGTTGTTTTTAAAATCGCCTTGTAATAAAGGAACGGCGGTTTAATCAATTGAACATATTTTACACTACAAAAGAAAAACTGTTTTGATACAATATTTGTATTACTTTTTATCGGCTTCAATTTTATTTTTAATGTAAAACAGTGCTACTTGTTGTTTCTTTTTTTTCTTTTTAACGTATTGTAAACATGTTTAAAGGGGAAGTGTCATTACAAAGTGTTGGAATTAAACTTTCGGAAAACGTATTAAAATGTGATTTTCGTATTTGTCATATTCTTGTGTGGCTTGTGCCAACCTCTCATACCACCAAAATGGTGAGAAATATAAAACGTATGCATTATTGTTGGGTAGTTTCATCTTTTTTTTTTACATTTTTGACTGTAGGGTTATCCGTTGATCTGGATTTGCGAAACAAGCCAGCCACACAGAGTAGCACTTACTATGCTGATGATCTCGGTATACCTCTTACTGCAGACAGAGCACTAGACGGAGATACCTCAACAATTTCACACACGCGTAATTATTTTCCAAATGTAATAATATGTATATATTAGACTTTATAAAAACCCTAAGGGAAAGATTCCAAAGTTTCATTTTTCAAATGACATTTTTCAATTGATCGAAAAATTATATTGTTTAAACGACGTAGTAAATTAAAAACGTACATAACGAGAAGGCATATTATTGATGTGTTCGTAATAGGCTTACTAATGTTTATTGAGCGCAGAAAAACTTGAACATTATATGATAAACTGTCACTTTAAATATCATGAAAGCCCTCAGTCGAGTTCGCGTCGTACATGGTTCCAAACTATTAAAGGCCAATAAGTTTGTCTCAAAGAAATCGCTCTTGAAGTACATAATTAGCGAGACATTAGCGGACAATATAAAGTTCAGCCTTGTACTCCTACCTGACAATATGCCGAAACGTTTCACGATGATAAATGCATCTCTGGCATGTTAGTGAAGAAGTCAATTGTATTGATCCGTCTGCAAATATTTTAGTTAAGATCGATCGCAAATAACATGCTGGGTTAATATTTTTTTCCAGTGGCGTAGCTAGGTCATTTTATTTGGAGGTGAGGGAAGATACATGAAAAAAAGGCACTTGCATGCCGATCAGGCACTATCGGAAAATAGGTGGCGCTTTTTATGGCAGCACAATTGCCGACGTTCGTGTGACATTCCAAGACTAAGAAAGGACATTCGTGAAAGAAAGGGCACTTGTGAAAAAGAATACCCGTTACACCGTTTTCATCCCTCCTTTCAGAAATGTCTCTTCATTTTTCCCGCCTACCTTAAATGATAAACCATATTTCAATGAATAATCCACACCATGGTTGCAACTTATTTCTATCCTTATTTTCATTCAATTCTCGCCAGTGTGTGCAGGAGACCAATGGTGGAGAGTGGATCTGGAGGCTGCGTACTGCTTGACAAGAATCACTGTAGTCAACACAAATGTTAATGGTAAGTCTAACAATGCGTGTGCAGTAGCAAGCAAGAAAGTTAATTTTATGAATTATCTGGGTTGGGCATTCATTTAAAGACCTGATTTGTATTCTGAGGAAAACTGTTTCATCAACTCACTGCAATTCAACTCAGAAGACTTCGCGGATGGAAAAGTGAAAATAGAAAATAGAAATATTGATGATTCCGTCAGTTCCGTCACTGGTTTTGGGCTTTTCATTAAGAACCTTCTTCGAAGTACAGTGAGACTTGACCTACCTAGAATGTTGATGGATGTTTCGCGCTGTTTCGAATTTGCGCTGTTCATCCATTTAAAAATTTTTGTCAATCTGCTATAACTTTGCGAAAGTCACTCGTTCAACGTACACACTATTTAAAAAAATGAACAATACCTGTACATACAATCACAAGCAGTGGCGTAGCCACGGGAGGGGGGCGTGACGGGGCGACTTCCCCCCCCCATGAATCCTTGTCGCCCCCAGTCGCCCCCACTGAGATTTCGAGTTTCTAAAAAAATATTATTGATCTACATGACGCCCCCCATGAAATGTTCCAGCCCCCCCCCCCCCTCTCCAGCGCCCCCCCCCCCCGGAAAAAATCCCTAGCTACGCCACTAATCACAAGGGACAAAAACCTGCCAATCATAATTATGACATCATAAAACTCAATTAAAACAAAGTCGGAGACACACAAAAAAACAAATTATAATGATGGAATTATTCAAATCAGTGAAGACAATGGTTTATGGACAGGAGTATCATTCAGAACAACTTTCTGTGAAAGAAAGATAACAATACCTCATCCAATAACACATATCGCATATAAATTGAACCCTAGCTCAGAGTTCAAATAGCCTTGTTAAGGGTTTCGACGATAGTGTTCGATGATCGATGGTCTGCCGCTAGCATAAACAGCAGCCGCCTGCTATGAACTCACACGTACTGTAGGGCAAACAGCGACCCCAGATGGCTATAAGCTACAATATGCGAATTAGTTGGTGATGACCGAAAACCTTGGAAAAACCGTCGCGATGGCTTATCTTTTCAGGGCAATTTTCATTATTTTGTCGTTGGATATGAAGCAAATTTCTGGACTCCAAATTTGTTTGAGAACGTAGCCACACTTTTCGGCTCTCTATCTTTGTTAACAAAAATGAGCCACCACAAAACACTGAATAGCAATCTCTCCTTTATTCGCATACGTATTCGTCTTCGGACATCCGGCGGCAAAATAAAGAAAAACATAGGCTAAAGTCACGGCGAATAAGTCGTCACCGTCACAACGAAGTAACACTCATAGTGTGCCAGCCAAACAAGGAAAAGTCCTCTAGAAAAAAATTTCACGGCATTTTTGGGTAATAGCTGGCACCCATGCTAGATCAATTCTTTGAACCATTACAAATAAGGTGTGGGTGGATGCCATCGTCAATTTTGGATTTCAAGGTCATTTTCAAGGTCAAGTGAGGTCAAAATAAAGAAAAACATAGGCTAAAGTCACGGCGAATAAGTCGTCACCGTACATACCAGTAAAAACTAGCAATCGGAGAAAACGGCATCTAAAGTTTTACGCCTTCTAGAACAACTTTTTGCGTCAATACTGCAGGGTATTTTCAGTTGGGTTTCTCGTTGAGGACACTCAAATTTGTTGTTTTTAACCCATTTGTGTATCAAAACAACAAGAAATAAGAGAAAAAGGTGAGTGCTAGTGAGTGAAACCAAAAAAGCTTCGAAACTGTAAATTTTCGTAGCACGCTTCAATGTATTACAACACTAGGAGAGTGTTACTTCGTTGAAACGGAGGTCAGCGCGCGCGTGCTCAAACAAGTGCCCAATTTCATAGCCCTAATTAACAGTAGACTAAAAGTTGTGCTTACTTTAGCAGAAAATCATGCCGCTGCTTAAGCACTATTTCATGCTGACGAGAGTGCGCGCCATACATTACAATGGTAAATAGCGCTTGAGTGTTATTTCGTGAAAACGAAAATGTTCACTCTGGCGCAAAAGTTGCCATGGATAATTAGCATAATTGTAAAGAAAAGCTCTTGAAGCTTTGAAACTTCGTGCAATGCTAGGCCTTGATGGATAATGTGTAAAAAAGTAAAAAAAAAAAAAAAAAAAACAATCAAAAAAAAATTAAAAAAAAAAAAAAACCCAAAAAAACTGAAAACCGAAAAAAAATATGGTTAAACACATGGAGCGTCACTTCGTGGTGTCGGTGACGAAATGTTTCAAGCGTGAGGTCGCTGTTCGCTGGTCACAGTACATTTTGGGATCCAAGAAACCAAGCCGGGAAAAGAGGGAGACAAAACAGAAGATAAAGAGATGAAATAACAACACATAGTGGCATTGCATGGCAACGGACAGCTCAAGATAGAGCGAGATTGAAATTGGTGAAGAGGCTTTCCTTTTGCAGTAGAGCTAAATAGGCTGGATACGTGTGAGTAGGGCAGAGCGCGCGACGCTTAGTTGTTTTAGTGGCCGACCACCAATCATCGGACACTATCGTCAAAAACCTTGACCGATGCTGACATTAAATGAAAAAGAAAAACGCGAAAAAGAAATCCTGTGCGCTTCAATACTTTTAATTTGATTGCAGCGGTTGGAAAAGGACTGTGGATATTACACTCAAGAGTGGTGAAAATATAGTCTTGAATGTCTATAAACGAACCTGAATGGCAGGACCAAAACCATGTGCCCGAAAACAAAATTGAATGCAATAATAGCAAAAAGAAAGCCGGTGTGAACAAAGTACACAAAAAAAACAAGTCTGAAAGTTTGTTGATCAAAATGAACGTTTTAGGCTGAAATCGGTCGGGAAAATCTATATTGATGAGACTTCATTGCAGGTTTGCGACTGAGAGGTGCCGTAGTACGGGCTGGTTTGAGTTCAGATCGCTCCCAGAACACCAAGATAGGATCTGCAGTCACACGTTCCCAGGCAAAGAAAGGAGCAATGATTAATTTCACATCGAGCCAAGCCATCGCTGCTCAATACGTTAGTGTGGAACTGTCAGGGACATGCCTTACTATGGCTGAAGTCAGGATTAGCACAGGAAACGTCATTACCAGCGGTAAGAGTAGAACTTGTCGATGAAGACTCAATAATCGCCGCATTCCGAATCATGGTGACCGATGATACAGGCGGCATCTCAGCTATGCTGGTGATATAACGAAAAGTCCGGACCACATGTTCACTTATATATCAAGTCATGCGATCACCAACAGAAAGACTTGATCCGTTTAAAAATGGTTGATAAAAGGTGACTCCCATGCTGATTTACAGCCTTCTATAGGCCTAAGCGATTTAATTGTCACGTTTCCATCGGGGTTCTAATTGGATGCTAATGCAGGATATTTTGAAATCGTCCTCACGAAGGGATTAAGTAAAGAGGGGCTGGCTTAAAATAAGGGAAGAGATAAATGATCATGTCTTCCTACGCTTGAGGATTATGGACTTTCATCATGGCCAGTGTGTTGGGAGGTATATGATTTTCACAACTAATTTTATGTAATGGTTAATAATACTCACACACTTTTTTGCCGTTGTAACGCAAACCATGGATTCTACTAGTATAACAGTCAGCTGGTCTGGAGTGCGATGACGCTATACACACACTATTAAGAACCAGATAGACTTACATAATAATATATTGGCTGGTCAATGATTTTCACAATTACTTTTATGTACTCGTATATAACAATCGCGTGTATTTTATTGCCGTAGTAATGCAAACGAAAGCCATGGGTTGTAATAGTTTGACAGTCAGCTACCTAATATCCATGTTCAACATTTCTTTCCATAGTAACGCAAACAAATGTCGATGCTACACGTATGACAGTCAGCTGGTCTACAGTGCCCTGTGCTGATCATTACAGCGTGGAGTATGCCCTGACCTATAAGGATAAGGCCTAAAAAAAAAAAGTGTTATGTTGGCGTAACCCGACCGACCCTAAAAATGCGGCCGACCCTGGATATTTTTTTTTTTTTTGAAGGGAAGAAATATAATTAAAATCTATAGAAATGAATTTTAAATACGTTTTGAAACCATTTCTGACCGTTTCTCCTCAATTGTATGACGATAGCGCGCGTGGAACTTTGGAGTGCACAATGTTTTGCACCTTCCTCTCCATGACACAACGAACATGCAGAAGATCGCGCAGGCCTAGCCTAGTGCGCGTGCGGAGATCGATGCACCATGCATGCATGATAGATGCACATGTACGTGTACAGTACATGTATAGCCTCGTCCTAGACTGTTGCACGGCGCGAACTGCTACATACACTATTGAAAATACTTCGCTATTTATTCCATGTTAAAAAAAAATAGTTCATTATAATATAAATTATTTTAATTAATTTTTCACTATTTAACACGATAACAATTGATATATATTTATTCTAAAAATGGTAAACTATTCTGTAACCCCGGCGGCCGACACGACCCGGCCGCGCCGCGCCGGCCCCCGGCCCGTGGTTACGCGCGTACGCCGTCGCATCATGGCGCCCGGTACCGAAGCGTACAGTGTTTCCATCAAGGGCAAATGGGGATCTTCGGTCATTTTCGACCGTTTAATGCGGATAAATTTGAGTCTAGAGCTGGGGGTAATCGCCCAGAGCTGTGCCGATGGTGTACAAGCGGGTTACACCGTGCTAAACATACAAACTTCAAGGAAGAATCGGGTCCATATAAAGATGTCGATGCCAGATGAAACGGCTAACAGTTTGTCTGATTTTGGATTCCGCTTTTTGATATGTACCTTTGATATGTACCATGCCTTCCTTAAATTTTCCTCGATCTGACAGTTTTTTTTTTATTTGCACAAAAACAAGAAACTATAAAAGAAAGACATAAAAAGTGAAATAAATGTCACTCAGAGTTTAAAAGTATACAAATAGTAGTCTTGTTTTCTTTTGTTATCGTGTACTACTACCGGCTTAATGTCATTTTCGTTGCTGGGATTTAAAAAAAAAAAAAAAAAAAAAAAAAAAAAAAAACCGACCGACCTACCCTATTTTTTCTGGCCCGTTACGCCAACATAACTTTTTTTTTTTTTAGGCCTAAGTGTGAACACATCAATACACCAGCGTACAGTAGCCGCTGCATGTGTCAGGGAAGCATGACAATTATAAACAGTCTGATGCCAAACTCTGGGTACACTGTACGAGTCAAGGCTTATGTATATGGTGCATACGGACCAATAAAAACAGCAATCGTCACAACCGCATCATCAGGTATGGCACTATAGGTTTTACGGTCTTCAGTCTTTTGGCTTGTTTGTTGTAACTTATTGTCTTCATCCAAATGCAATATCTCTAACCCTCTGGTACTTATTTGATATTGCAGCACCGACTGGACCACCCACTATTGTGACACCTGGGTCTCAAGCCCAACGCAGCCTAGCCTTCTCCTGGAGCCTCCCAGTGTGTGGAAACCGAGGCGGTGTCATCACAGGATACGACTATAGGCTTAGTACAAGTGGAGCTGCACCAATGACTCGCCAGACTACAGCAAGCCTCTCAGTTACAATAGATGGACTTACTCCCTTTACTTATTACAGTTTTCAAGTTGCTGCAAGGACTAATGATGGGACTGGACCGTACAGTGCGGCTGTAGCATCAAGAACACACGAAGCAGGTAGTCTAAGACTTTTGTTCTACCTCGATCTCATTTCGCCATCTCCATCTTCTCCTTCGTATTTCGGTTTGATTCTAATTTTGATGCGGTTGTCTTGCAGTTGTTTATGGATTCTATATACAAATAACCCCTCGAACAAAGTAAACAAAAAGGTCAATAATAAAGGAAATTCCTTTAAACCAGGAATTTAATTCAAATACATATTCTTAATTGGTTAATTGTTTTTTTAGTGCACGGTGCCGATAGTTTTATATCAGTTGCAAGAACCAATCAAATATTCGTTTTGGTGTTCAATCTTAACAGCGCCCACAGTTCCCCGCAATGTTCGCATCCTGTCGATAGATTACATGTCCGTCAGTCTGGGCTGGAGTGTACCGGATCCACCGAATGGACGCATCACACACTACAATGTTCGCTACTGGAGGAGTGGAGACATGCAAAACATGGAGACTGATCCTATTGTCATAGGATTGATGCACAGTATCACGGGCCTTGAAGCCGGTGTGCCATACCTGTTCGTGGTATATCATATTCTTTATTTTTTCTATAAATCGGTACAACTATTATCGTTACAAGATAATTGGTGCATCAGAAACTAATGTTCTTCCCACGTGTATCTAAAACTGACAAGTTTCGTCTACGATCCCAATTATATCATGGCAGAGGCAAACACCATCAAACTGCTACATTGACATGATTAACAATAGATAACTTTGCGTAACAACATTAAATGTTCGCCTACGTTTTTACGAAAAACAGAACTTATAGTGTTTGAGGATCACAAATAATTTTAACCGATTTCATCTGAAGCATCGAATTGCAATAAAATGGCAGGGTTTTGATATGATTGCTACAGGTGCAAGCTGTGACGTCTGTTGGTCCTGGCCCTTGGAGTGACTATATCGAAGCAACGACAGCAATCGGAGGTAGACTATCTGGGAAAAAACAGTGAAATAAACTACAATGAGACGCTTAAGTCGATTTCTTTGTTCAACTTTAATCTTGATCTTTGTGTATTGTTTCTTTGGTATTTATATCAATGACGTAAACACATCGTTCTGATTGTATTCCACAAAAGTATATCGTTCACATAATATTGTGCTAATGTAAACTTTGATTTCCGCAGTTCCTCGACTTGTAAGGAATCTGAACTTCACGAAGAGGACAGAGACATCTATCACTTTGGTCTGGAACCCACCGCTACGACCTAGAGGACCAATCACTGGTTACATAGTATGTACACTTGTCCATCTATCCCATTGGAAAATTGTGTGTAATTCAAATCCAAAATGAAAAGTATTTAAAAAAAGTATACATAGTCCTAGGACGGAGCATGCAGCGGCGTAGCCAGGGCTCTCATCCTGGCGGGGGCGGGGGGGGGTGGAGGTGCTGGATGTTACAGTGGAGGGGCGCCCAATTTGATCCGTACTCTAAGGTAGACAGGCTTTTCCATCGGACAGCTGGCCTCCATAAAATCAAATAGTGTGAGGGGACACCATCTTTTAATGAGGGCCCTGAACAAAACCAAATTCATGGTAATTGTCAGACAATAGTATTGCTATACGCATTCCAAGGGACGTTAAAATAATCAGCCAATTGCGAAAATTAGAGTTTTTTTCGATTGCCTAATTTTCAGAGTGGGAAGGGGGCGACTGGGGGAGCGACGAATTTTTTTTTATAGGGTGCGCCCCCACCCCCGTGCGAAGCGAGTAGTGCTGAGGATGTCAAATGAGATCAAGGACTGACACCTACGTTGCTCCTGAAATTATTGTTAAGATGTGAACATTTTGCGTTGACATAGGTCCTGCTAGGACTGACATGTTAGGCCACCTTTTTTTTGTGCTTAATCAACTCCCCGAACACAATCTTCTCAGAAAGTGCCTGGATTCTACTTTGGAATTCTCTCTCTTTTTTGGTAGGTAGAGTACCGTATCTTGGACAGGCCTTATCGACCAGACTTCACAGCAGGGGACACATACGAAGGCAGTGAAGCTCAGAATTCACCCTTTACAATAACCAACCTGGAACCTGGTACTAAATATGAGTTTAGGGTGTTGGCAAAGAATGAAATGTTCACAGGGACAGAACACCGAGTGTTGGAAGTTTACACGAAGCCGATGACGGGTAAAAATATTTCCTTTTTTTAATTAATGATTGTCAATACGTATTAAACCTGTGCGATTCGTCTGATGATCAAGACGACAGCCACGAAGGTTGGGTTTAAAATCCGTTTCGAAATGTACCCTTTGGCGACTACATTGAAATATTGTCTTGTTGGGCCCATGTACTACATGACAGAACGGTTAGTTAGATTTCAGTTTAAAAATTTCATGTCAAAGAGAAAGAGATATCGCTAAAACGAAATCTTGACAGGAACACTAAGAACTTGACAGGTGTATACAGAGCCACAATCAGGTATGATGTCCGAGTCACTGAGTAGTTTATGAATGTCAGTCGATCATAAAATTAAAACAGTCGTGTAGAATACTTTTGAAAAGCTGACTGATTCCTCTGTTGATCTTGAGAACTGACTTTAACGTCTACGAGATTTTCAAAGAAAAGGAAAACAACAACAACAACAATGGCCGACTGTTTCCACTTTCGAAAATATTCCAATTCAACTTAAATTTTCTATTTATTATCACAAAATATATTTATTGTATATATTTACCCATCTGAAACTATAAGACTAGGACAATTTTAAAAAGGATTTTGATGCTTTTATTTAATGACAAACTGCAAATTTTTAATTTCAACAGATCCACCTGCTCCACCCAAACCCACTCCAATTCAAGAGAAAACAACAGACATGACAGTCACAATCAGTTTGGCAGCTCCAAAGTCTGTTGTGTACATTGAGTAAGTAAACAGAAACAACCCTTTTTTTTTAGAAAAAGACGTCGATTTAAGATATACTTTTAACACCAAAACCTATTATAGCAAAATATAAATGGGATCTATTGTAAGAGCAGCTACCAACGTTTTTGAGTTTGTTTATCTTGAATGTTTTTGAAAACCTGACCCTTGTTACGATCAATAATTGTTTTAAGTTGCGCCTTGCAACTGCAATGCTTAATTTTCATTGATGGCATGCACATTTCGATGTGTTATGGTATAAGTTAACATGTCCGTTTAAAATGTAGTATTAGACAACATTACATGCTACATTTAAAAATCATGTATTTTCAATTACAGTTGTATTATTACATTTTATTACAGATCATACGTGATTGAGGTTAAGAAGGCTGGTACATTGTCTGTGACCAAAAGAGATGTTCTCGTTACGAGACGTTCTGAGGACCTGGGTGACGGTTACATTGCTGCTGAATTTCCTAAGAATAGCCTTCCTGCTGAATTCGTAGTCGGAGACTCTAAGATGTATGGCGGCTACAGGAACGCACCGCTGCAGCGAGATGCTGTATACAACATCCGTGTTGGGTCTGTTACCAAAGGCAACGAAACTGTGAGTTTCCATAACAAGGTTTTGCCCAAAAATGTGCCAAAACAAAACAAAACAAAATATCAACGAATGTTTATTATTTGCTTACGCTGGACGGTCGTATAAAGGGTGTATGTTATTCTAATTAAATAAGCCTCTGTTATGGTGACATCACACTTTGTTTACATGTGTGTTTTTTGTGGGAGCCTGGTAGGAACGACGCTTTCGTAGCCCAATAGAAACTCGTACAAGTAAACAAAGTGTCACGTCAGAGGCTTATTGAGTTCATGAAAAGTTCACTCATAGCAACACGGCGATTTTAGAAGCTGATATGGTTCCCCATTTTGAATGACAGTTCTTTATGTTAAAAATACTCTTGGCAGAAGTGATTAATTTTCCCATTTCATGTTTCCGATGTTTCTTACAAAATTAGTGATACCAGTTTCTTTCATGTTCTTTAGTTACCTATAATGTCGTAATTACAATGTTCTTCGTATCGCTCACTTTGAGTCACATTGTCGTTCTGCAGGAAGCCACGGTAACATATTCTGAGCCACTGACAGTCATTGGTAAGTATATATGAAGAATTTATTACAGAACAGCAAAATACCGTAAAAGTGCTATGGAAATAACTGACTGGACTAAAACTTCTGAATTTCTTTTAAGTGCAAAAACCATCAACGAATGGCAACGGAATCATTATTGCTGCTGCCGTGTTTAGTGCGATAGTGGTTGGTTTTGTCCTAATTATTTTCGTTGGATGTGTGGTGTGGAGGAGACGAAATCGCCAGAATGCTTCAAACAGTTCTCTAATAGTGCCCAGACCTGTGGAACTGGTAAGTGTCACTCTCATAGCGTGCAATTTGGTATTGATTTTTTTTCATGTGATTATTTGTTTGATCTAGTTATGAACTGTAAGGTACACAACTAGGATTGTTTATTGGATGAGTTAATGTGTAGGCTCTGATGCATACAGTGTTATTGCGAAACTAAAACAACCAAAATATTTCTTCTGTCATTTGAGCTAATTGACTTCAACAAAATGTGTTTCACTTACTTTCAATCATTGTCAAAACTTATTTCATTATTGATTGTGCAGCTTTCAGCTTTATAGGGATTTTTTTTTTACCTTTTTTTATTTATTTCCTAGGTTGCCAAACCCACAACCTACGAAAACTACCCACCAAGAGCTGTCAACCCCGATGGCGATATATATGAGGATGTTGGGCTTCCCGTCTGGGCCAGGAAACTGGAAATCAAATGGGAGAATTTGATGATCGATGATGAGATTCTTGGTAAGGGTAACTTTGGCGAGGTACGGGCAGGAGGCGTGAGAATCAGAAGCCAGGTCACCAAAGCAGCCATCAAAACTCTCAAAGGTAACTGTACTCGTGATTAGGATAAACACATCGTAAATGCTGGTTCCCACAGTGCCAGTCCTGTGTTCTCTTACTTCATGACGCACTCACCGACTGACTCACTCAGTGACTCACTGAATGTCACATAATGATCCCATCAGAGATGGACCAAGTCACCCTGCATCGACGATGAAGGGGCTATAAACAGATGCATGAAGAGGCTTCAAGGAATAGCCATGTTGAATCAATAGCGTAAAACTGTGTGCGTTATGCAACCACAGACTGAGTGACTGACTGACTGAAGTTCAGATAATATCCTAAATCAAGGCTTTAGGTTCCAGCTTGGCAAACCTTGTGTTGTTCATCAATCAAAGATTGACGATGCGACTTCCTTGTTTGTCGGTATACTGTATTTTCATTACAGTAATTCGCATCGCACTGTAACATACTCATTTTTAAAAAAAGTAGAATTACCAAATAATGAACTGTAAAATATCTATATTTACTGTAAAAATATTTTGGCGGTCAGCTGAGAACGAATTTTTGAAAGACATGTCAGATCTGATATTTGTTTCCTTTTCTATATACAGACAGCACCTCTGATGCTGCTACGGACTTCAAGGCAGAGTTGCAGACGATGGTGGGCATTAAACCACACCCTAATATTGTACGTCTCCTTGCCGCATGTTTTCATGAAGGTAAACTAATCATGATTTCTATACCAAAAGACAGCCCAGTGTTTTACATTTTGTAACTACTTTGCGCTAGTCAAGACTGGGCGTTTAGCAAGGTCAGAATTGAACCAGTTACTGGAATTAATTATCTCCAACATTAATCATATCAACTGAAATATGACCAATTCAAGTTCAAACTACATAGTTTATTTTGATTACAGACAACTAATTATTACTCTATATTTGTAACTCTATAACTTCTATGGAGCTTAAACTTGAAGAACACACACTCAAACATTTGAACTGCTTGAACCCAGACAAGAGGCCATACTTTCAGGTAGAAGCGTAAGTTAATTAGCTGACCGGACTTTTGTCAATCTGAATTTACGTTACCCTACGTAGAATCACACCATGAGGCAAGTGAATTCACAACCATTGTTTTATAAATTATTGCAAGTTAAGCTAAATTGTTTGAGAAACGACAACTAATCCTAGTTATTCTAGCTTCGATAGAGCTTAAACGTTAATAACAACTAATAGACACGTGGACATACTTTTAGGCAAAAGGGGAAAAGTGAATTGGCCAACTGGACTTTTGTCAATCTCAATTTTGATAACCTAACGCAGTATCACATCATGAAGCGAGGCTATTTCAAAAGAAAACCCCTTGTAATTATTTTTCTTATCAAAGGCATTCTGTATGTGGCACTGGAGTTTCTTCCCAATGGCAATCTTCGTGATTATCTGAGGAGCATTCGCCCGAAGCAGAAAAGAGCTGGCCACTCAACTGACGGCGCATCTCCGGTGACTTCTTCAAACTTGTTGAAATTTGGCACAGACGTTGCCAAGGGGATGGACCATCTCTCCAAGACAGGAGTAAGAAGTCTATTCCAACATTTTAAATTATTCTAACTTTTGCATGTATTAGTTTGAATACCACAGCTCTGTCGTGATTCTAATCACTTTCAGCATCTTCATATGCCATTCTATCTCTACGAAATTCCTAGGGAAAATGTCCTTTTCCATAGTCTAGTGTAGTCACAGGTGAATGTTTGCTTGAGGCTTGCAGTAAATGTTCTGGATGTCACTTAATTGTTAGATAATTGCACATGGTCGGTTGAAATACTTGTCTGTTTTATAGATTATCCATCGTGACTTGGCAGCAAGGAACATACTTCTGGCCGAAGACCTGACCGCCAAAGTGTCTGATTTCGGCCTTTCACGAGGAGAGAACATCTACGTTCAAAAATCATCGGTAATGTGCAGAAAGTAGAATCATCTTTAAAGGATAATGACTAATCAATACGAGAGGAATAACTCAATTGCTTTTAGTGAACATTGTAACAAAACATCTAAAGAATTACACATACAAAAAATCATCTCGGTGTTGTTTGGTGTCAATCAAGTACCCAAGAAAGACGATGTTTACCAATCATAAATTTCGGCTGAAATTCTTTCGGTTTATATGGCACCTTATTTCATGAAAAGAGTTGAAATATATGTTCTTTCGATTGTAGACCAGGATTCCCGTTCGCTGGTTGGCTATCGAATCTTTGACGCGTCGTGTCTACAAGTCCAAAAGTGATGCGTAAGCAAAATTTAATGCAACATAATTTTGTCACAGAATTTGATTCTCACACCGTTACTTAGTTTAAAAAAAATACAAAGGAAAAACATATGAACTCTATATAATTGGCCTCCGCCAAGGAGGTAATGTTTTCATCGGATATGGCTTGTTTGTTGGTTGGTCAATTTGTTGGTGTGTTTATTAACAAGATAACTAAAAAAAGTATGGGCGGATTTGCCTGAAATAATGTTTAAGTACAAATCGATTACATTTGGCCTTGGCGGAAGTTTGCGCTCTATGAGTGATTTCTAGTTGAATATGAGTTTAAATCAATGATTTTCATTGTTTACCTCAGTTTTCTATCCTAGGGAAAACAATTCAATCGTCTTGCTAAGGTATTTCCATTTTCATTTTTGCGAATCATCTGTTCATCATCTGTTCATCTTTTAGGTGGTCGTTTGGCATCTTGCTGTGGGAGATAGCAACATACGGTAAGTTATGTAAGCTGGGATAACTCTGTACTGTCGTAAGATTGCTGCTAATGCTAACACAATGGTACTAATTAATCCAATTTACAACTATTAGTGGATCATTGCTTTTAGGAGCCACTCCGTACCCTGGTATTGAAAGTAAGTCACTGGCCGAGAGATTGCTGGATGGATACCGCATGCCCAAGCCGGACAACTGCGCCGATGAAATGTAAGGAAACACACTACTCTCCTTTAGCAGTATGAATACAGATTTCGATTTCAATTCACCAATATTCACTGAACTATTCGAATATAAACCTTGCAATAACTATTGTTTTGATAATGATAAGTAAGAATTAATTGTAAAAAAGGGCAGCAATTTCAAGTGAAGACAGACGATTTTTAGAAGTTTTCTTTGGGCAGCGATGACGCAGGAATAAGACGTTCAGACCTACTTGAGTAACTGTGACATGTGTTGATTTAGACTCTCACTGGGACTCTCATTTTAGTTTTCTTTGAATTTGTATTGATTCAGTTATAATCTGATGTTGAAGTGCTGGCATGAGGTGCCAAGTAAGCGTCCAACCTTCAAAGTACTCTACGAAACTCTCGAGAAAATGAACTCCAAATCGTATGAAAATGTAAGCGTGCTGCCGAGTTTCAAGAACACTTTTAGGTTACAGATCTGATAAATATTAGATACATTGGATACCTTCTTTTACCAAAATGTATGATAGATGCAAATAACAATTATCAATGTATTTGGTTTGGCTATTTCTCTCAGTACATTAAAGCAAACCTTATTTTCTTTGATAAACAGATTTTGTTTTGTTCGATGTTTTGAACAGTTCACTAATGCAACATCTTTTGATTTTTGTAGGTTGTCTTGTCACCGACTGTCTACGAGAACTTCATCATCAAGCATGAGTTTGATGACAACTAGATGACGTCATTATCTTTACGCTGTAATGCATCATCTTCGAAATTACTCAAGCATGTGGTTCAGCATTTTTCCCGATTATTTTCAGTGTCGGGTTTGAGTGTTAGCATTAACGCAGACTTTTTTTTGAACAATGTCAAGTAGAATATTTAAATCATCTTATGTCCTTGTACATAGTGGATCTTAATTCGTTCAGAATTTAGCCTCTTATATTATATATTTGTTACAAGACTTACTAAGCATGTTTACATTATTATCAAATTTATAACTCGTTTACAGTTTTAGAGTAAGCATTTATATTATGTTAAATATCGTAGTAGGCTGCTTAGAGTGTTGTTTTAAATCTCAAAAGCTTTCGCAGAAGATCAGGTTTCAAAATGTAATTGTACAGCGAGGACGTACCGAATTGTGTATAGTTCACTCCTAAAGCATTGTAATTAAATCAACTGTTGTATTGAACAGCGAGGACCTATGCCGTGAAATACCGATGTACTGTATGTAGTTCACTCCTAAAGCATTGTCATTAAATCAACTGATGTTGTATTGTATAGCGAGGACTCACCATGAAATACCAATGTACTGTGTGTAGTTTACTCCTAAAGCATTGTCATTAAATCAACTATTGTATTGTATGGCAAGGACTTACCATGAAATACCGATGTACTGTGTGTAGTTTACTCCTGAAGCATTGTCATAAAATCAACTGTTAATTGTATCGTATAGCGAGGACTTACCATTAAATCAACTGCTGTATCGTATAGCGAAGACTTAGCATGAAATACCGATGTACTCTGTGTAGTTGAACTCTAAAGCATTTAACCTTTGGTATAGCGCAGGGCTATTTTGTTTTGTAAATAATGTGTAATCAACATTATTTACTGAAATTAACGATTTTAAGGATCAATTGTGTATGTACAAACGAATCTGTTATTTTCAATCACACATATAAATGGTTTATAACTAAAACATTTCTTCCTGTGTAGCTGTCAGTACTGTCAGAAAAAAATATGCATCTAGGATTAGTGGAATGCTTGTATGCTTAATACGTTTTATTGTCAAATGATGTTATCAACATTACCTACTCAGATTAACGTTTTTAAAACTAAATAATACCTAAACATTATAGTGTAATTTTCGATCACTGATATTTAGCCGATAAAAAGTTCTGAAATATATTTTTTTTCAAAGGTTATTTCGTTAATTCTGTCAGAGAGATTAGGAAGGATATTACAACTTATTTTCAAAATAGGAACTTACGACAGCTGTTTAAATGTAATCTCAACATTCTCAATCTTCACAAATATGTTTATTTCAAAGGGTCAGCGTTTTTATAAGAATCGTATTTTTTTTTTCAGATTGGTTAGTCTTTGTTATGAGACAACGACATGTCGTTATGTTGATTATGTTGAAATCCTTTGAATTGTTCTATATTCGACGCTTTTTGTTCCGAAAAACAAATGATTGACCCCCCAAAAAAGTGGAAAATAGCCCCTTACGTTCAGTGACAGTGTGAGATCAATTTGCGTACACGGCTTCATTATTTGTAGTTGATAACAAATTAAAAAAAATCTGAATGCCAACAGTTTTGCTTCCGTAAATTTCACAACCATGGACTTTATACTGTGAATAAATCGCACACCATCCGTTGATGAATATGAATGGCATAACGCAAGAGTAATGGGTTTAGGGAAGGAATGAATTTCTCCAATCACAAATTCATTCCATCGGTCATTAATTTTGATGTATTTTTGTCAACGGTTCCAGTATGTGCAAACTGTGTTCTTGTTGGAAGTAACGTCGCCCTCTATCGCAAAGTTGTAGGTTTGCGTGTCCAATAAATAGCGCCCTCTTAATTTTTATGAAAGCTTCGGGCGGTTATTTTGGACCCGTGTTAAAGTGATGACTTCTTTTAGGGGAAATGGGAGATTATATGTTTGTGACCTCATAATGTATGCGTTCTTATTAGGTAGATTTTGTTTTACCGACGCAAGGGTCACACACCACGCGCAAACTACCTGTGTATACGAGAATGTACGGGCACCGACCGTAAAAACGGCACTACGAAGTATACTTTTCCTTTAAAAGATTTTGTGAAAACAGAGAGCGGTTATCAGCAGTGGGTGCAACCGAATATAGCCTATAGCTTGTGAGAGCTGGTTGGAACTTGTCATGTGAGGGCGCACAAATTGAGACTTTGCTCACCCCAACAGCTCTCTGTCAATGACCTTTACTTTCTTTTGAAGTCTAATGAGACACTTTTTGGGCGGCACGTGTCCAATGGTCGGCAAAGACATATGCACACGCGACCCGAACGTACGAAAAAGAGGCCTTTGCTAGGGCAATGACTTCGGAACCCAACCGTCACCCATGTGAAAGCTCACCGCTTGAACCAGGACTACCATTCGAGCTACATCACGACCAGGAAACAAATCTGTAAAAACAAATCTGGATATTTCAACATGTAGCCTACGTGCCGAAAAAAATGACGTGTACCGCTATTACAAGTATAGACTGAAAACGTCTATGATGACCCCGAGACTTTTGCGTACCGAGTGTGGGACTGAAAGGGGAATTCCCCGGCATTGTGACTGCTCTGTATAAGAACGGGTTGGGACAATAGACTGGAATTGAGTGACGTGTGCTTTAGGCTCCGGTTTCTGGTATGGAGCTTGCCCAAAAAGTGATGCGGCGACGCGGCTTTTTTTTCCCTGTTTTATTTGCTTCAAATGTCGGCTGATGACTGCAAATGGTGCCCGATTAAACTAAGTGCAAATATTATGGGAGACCAGAGAGGCCACATAAAGCTTATTCTCGATCATAACCCCATCTAAAAACACGTTAAAATTGTGCAGTAGCAGGATTCCAGTCAAACCAGTGAGTTTGGCGGTTATGAAACATCATTTTTCATTGAAAAAAAAACTTTCATTTTGCCGACGCGCATGGCTACGGCGACGCGCGCGCATACCAGAAACCGGAGATTTTTTTTTTTTTTTTTTTTTTTGGCCTTATAAAGTGTACAGCCTCTAACCAATGATACTAACCACACGCAAGCCCTGCATCTGGAAGGAAATAAATTCGACCTGATTTTTGTGTCAACATTTCCCCACGATAACTGAATGCAGCAAATGTCATGCACAAGTTAAATCTCACTGTTCGTAAATTCAAGCAAACCCGTTCATTACGAGGACAACACACAACTCAAGCAGAAATATCCATCTTTACCGAGCACAGACTTTTCATGCACGACCTGATCAAGTTTCGCAGAAATGTGGATGTTCAGCAGATGATACAGAAGTTTTAAATTTAATTTGGTTTTCCGAACCCCCCCCCCCACACACACACACCCAGACACAACCCACCCACACACACAGACTTGTTTCACATACCTAGTGTGGACTTTCCTTTCTTTTCGTGTAGTTAAGGAACACCAGTGGAAAACTCATTTTTCTCAAACTGTGAAAACTCTTACAACCCAATTTTTTTTCAATGATTCCCTTTAGTGTTTCTCTTCATTCTGCTACGGATAAACCTAACCCAAAAATGCCTCTAAACCTGTTTTCCAGAAATGGGGAAACACTGTGTGGACGTGGGCAAGTCCACACTTCGTCGCTGCTACCTACATTATGTGGACGTCTTTTGTTCGGAAGTCCACACTGTGTATGTAAGACAAGCTCACCCAGACTAACCCTCCCAGACACACACACACACTCACATATTCCTCGAGGTAATTCTTGTCTTTTAATTTGAAAATTCCTAAACAACCGTCAATCTTTCTGTTTAGATTTTAAAAGCTAGAATTTTCAGTAAAACCCATAATAATTTTCTTTCCCCATTGGCTCACTTTTGATAAATATTAAAAAGCTGTCTAAATATTCAGTTTGTCTTTTTTTCCTGGTATATATCGTTAATTCCTATGAAAAGTTCAATTCTGAGTTCTATAATTATTGTTAGTTTTTTGTTACTGTTCCCGTTCCTTAAGGAAATAAAAGTCAGATAGTATGAAGATTATTGATATTATACGCGACTATCAATTATTCAACGAGGAAGTGAATTCTAGGCCAGTGTGTGGTTTGGCACACATGCAGCCCCTCTTGATATGGTTGACTCAAAAATGAACTCATTTCATATTCACGGTTTCATTTCAGACAGCATTCACGTCTAAATGAATAGTTGTTCTCCCACAAGTTCAATCTACACGTGACCTTTACACGCCTTTACATATTCACGACTGCGCATGTATTTCGTATGTGACGTTTGTGAAGGAAACCAGTTTTCTCTCTATTCTGCATGGAACATGACGACTTTCGCGTTTCGACTTGCGATCCATTTTCCCAATTAGTATAAAAACAAAATATTGTTGCTGTACATATGACACCATGGGTTCATCGGCAAAATGTCGTCTGCTAGTCCCAATGTTGTTGTGGGCTTGTACCATTTTCCACACAGGTAAATATACTACATTTACAACCCGAAAATGATATAAATAAATGTGTCTTGATGTATATCGCACCAATCTATATAGTACATGCAAATCGCGACTTTGATTGAATTATGTAAAAGAAAGGTCTTTGCCAACTCAGGCAAAATATAAACACAACCGATATCATGTTCCTCACAATTGTTTGGCTGAATCATTTGAAACAATCTTTCGAATCATAAGTACGACAAAATTAAATTTACTTAGAAAAAAAATCCTGCTTTTCCCGGCGTGAATCAAATCATTAATATAAAACAGGGTTGCACTCTTTTTTTTTAATCATGTTATACTCGCCTCAACATACAATAAAAATAATAAATTGAACATATTTTACACTGCAAAGTTTGCTGTATTTTTACATTCGTTTCCCCCTTTTTTAGTTTAACAGTTTTGATAGTAAAACAGCAGTTGCGTAGCCAGGAATTTTTCAGTGGGGGTGCTGGGGGGATGGAACATTTCATGGGGGGGGCGTCATGTAGATCAATGATAATTGTTTTCGAAACTCAAAATCTCAGTAGCGGGCGACAAGATTTCATGGGGGGGGGGGCGGCTATCGCCCCCACGCAACCTCTCCCCCCCCCCCCCCCCCCCGGTGGCTACGCCACTGTAAAACAGTGCTATTTTTGTTTGCACTTGTAAACATGCGGTGGAAAGTGTCGAGGAAACGGTTGGACTTTTTAAACCTAATTTTCCATCCTGCCTTTTCCATGGGTTTTGCCAAACTCTCATGTTCCGGAATCATAAAACTAATGAATTATCGAGGAATACTCTTTATCTTTGTATTAAATAAAATGTCCGTGTTTTTGTTTTATTGTTTGATTGTAGCTTTATCCGTTGATTTGGATCTGCGAGGCAAGCCGGCCACACAGAGTAGCGATTACTATGCTAGTGATCTCCGTCTAAATCTAATTGCAGACAGAGCATTAGACGGAGATACCGCAACATTTTCACACACTCATATGTATTTTCCAAATTTTCCAAAAAATATACACGTATATATCAGGCCCGTACATCAAACCCTTGAAGGCAACGATTTGAAATCGTGCCACATAATTTAAATATTTTGAATTGATCGAAGTAGGATTTATTGCGATTCCGATCCACTGAAATAATTCAACTATTTTTAAGGCGACGTAGTAGATTAAACATGTGTATCATGAGAAGGCGTCTATAGTATTATTTCTTTGTTACAGGCCTTCTTATGATTTACTGTAGAAAAACTTGAACATTACGGTAGACAGTAAATTAAACTCGAACCAACGACCTTGTCTGATATAAGACGCGTTTGAATCGCATGAATAGCAAAACATCAGGGGCGGATACAGGAATTTTCGCAGGAGGGGGGGGGTTCATCGGCAAAAAAATCCGAAATCTAGACAGGTTTTTTCTCCAGACACTTGGACTCCGATAATCAAAGGTGGGGGTGGAGGGGCGGGGATGGAGGTGGCTCGTGCCATATTTTCAATGGGGGCGCTGTTCAAATCCGACGATTATTAATACTATATCACAGAATAGTGTACATAGGGCCTATAAACCAAGCTGGCTCTGTCCGTATTTTGTGCAAAGGCGGACATTATTACCAGAATATAATGTTGGGTGTCAGAGCAGGGGGGGGGGGGGGTAGCATTTGTTTTCATGAACTTCTATGGTATTTTTTTTTGGACAGAGCTGGGGTTTTTTACCCCCCCCCCCCGCGGATCCGCGCCTGGACATGAGAAGAACATGTGAAGTTCAACCTTGTGCACATACCTGACATATGAAGAAGTCAATCGTATCATTCGTCTCATGCAAATCTGTCTAAATGTTGAGATCGTTTCAAATAATAGCATCTGATATTTCGCCTAGCTTGTATCCACATTTTAGGCATGCTAAACCATAAATTTAATAAAAAATCCATGTTCACATAAAAGATGCAACTTTTTTTGAGGAAGCGTTACTTCATTACTATCTTTGTTTATGAATTCAATTGTTGCCAGAGTGCCGCGGAGACCAATGGTGGAGAGTTGACCTGGAGGCTGCGTACTGCTTGACAAGCATCACTATAGTCAACAGAAATTATCAGGGTAAGTCTATGATCGGGGTGCAGTAGCAAGCAATACAGTGGATTTGAAGAATATTCCCTTCGGTCGGCATTCGTTTAAGAACCAGTTGTGTAGTATAAGGAAAGCTGTTTCATCAAGTTACTGCAATCTGGTGATATTGGGAAAGAAAAAAAAAACATATCACCTCAAAATGATTGACCTTATTCGTTAGTATATTACCTTAAACTAAAGCAAAGAAATACGAAAAGCCGAATCTTCACAGCATGGAGTCCTCCATTAGTCTAGAATTATGATTTGACTTATACATTATTCGTGTTCTTCAGTCAGAAAGGATTTTTTTCTCCAACACATCAATGCAAAAAAAACCTTAATTGTTGGCTCCCCATTGAGGGCAGAATAATTAAAGCTACAACGGTAATTTTGCAGTGCTTAATACTCGTCTGCATTTAACAGCCATTCTCAACATGTGTTTTTATGTTAATTCGTTGAATGCACAAGTGGTCATACTAACCCATATTCAATAAAAACACAAACTTCAAAGATAACTGTAGTTTAAACGATTTCCGAATACATAAATGTGTTATGAAATAGAAACATGAATGCGAAAGGTTTCGTTCCCATCAAGTGAAAGTTATATTCAAAAATGCAATGTATAACAAGAAATAATGGAACGCACTTGTGCAATAGATTATTATTATAAATATTTAACCACATTTACAGACGCAATTTGCTTTAATAAAATGCATAATTTAATTTTAAGTCGGATTAAATCATCACATATATGCATGCACTAAAACAAAGCCTCCGGCAGCCAGTTGACGTTTTGCAGCTGCGTGTAACTTGAATTTGACATTCAGGAAAACAGTAATTATTGAAACAGTCAGTTAACTTTGTTAATTTAATGCATCGCAAACAGCCCAGATTATCAATCAAAAAGAGTAAGTCTAACAAGAACCAGCATACTGATGATCTTTTTTTTGCAGGTTGGCGACTGACAAGTGCTGTAGTTCGTGCTGGTTTGAGTCAAGTTCACTCCCAGAACACACAGATAGGAGATGCAGTCACACGTACCCAGGCAACTAACGGAGCAGTGATTGATTTCACATCGAATCCGGCCATCTCTGCTCGATACGTTAGTGTGGAACTGTCAGGGAATTGCCTTCATATGGCTGAAGTCAGGATCAGCACAGAAGACGTCATTACAAGAAGTAACAATAAACCTTAATCTTCACATTCCGAATCATGATGGCAGATGACACAACATTTGCATCTCTGCCATGCTGGTGATATAACAAACAGTTCATTGACAAACCAAGTCTTACGGTCACAAAAAGAAATATTTTATTTTCGTTCGAAAAGAGGTTGGTAACAGGTGAGTCCAATAATATGCAGATTGGCAATCATATAAAGGTTTTTATTTGGTCGCGTTTCCATCGAGATTCTAATTGGTAGCTAATGCAGATATTTTGATATCGTTCCCACGAATAGAATCAGCAAAGATGGCTGGCCTAAAAACATGCAACGAATTAAATGAGTGTGCCTTCTTCCGCAACTACCTGGCTTAAATAGTCCTATACACTTTCATAATAATACATGTATATTATTTGGCTGGTCAATGATTTTCACAGGAAATTTTATATACTCTTATATAATAACCACGTACATGTTTTGCCGTAATAATGCTAACAACTGTTGTGGGTTAGTTTGACAGTCAGCTACCTAATATCCATGTTTAACTCTTCTTTCCATAGTAATGCCAACAAATGTCGATGCTACTGGTATGACAGTCAACTGGTCTACAGTGCCCTGTGCTGATAATTACAGCGTGCAGTATGCCCTGACCAACAGGGATAACTGTGTAAACATCAGTTCACCATCGTACAGCAGTCCCTGCAATATGTGTAAGAGAAACATGACAACTATAAACAGTCTGATGCCAAACTCCGGGTACACTGTGCGAGTCAAGGCTCATGTATACGGTGCATACGGACCAATAAAAACAGTAATCGTCACAACCGCATCATCAGGTATGGCACTATAGGTTTTACCGTCTTCAGTCTTTTGGCTTGTATGTTGTAACTTATTGTCTTCATCCAAATGCAATATCTCTAACCCTCTGGTACTTATTTGATATTACAGCACCGACTGGCCCACCCACTTCTGTGACACCTGGGTCTCAAGCCCAACGCAGCATAGCTTTCTCCTGGAGCCTCCCAGCATGTGGAAGCCGAGGCGGTGCCATCACAGGATACGACTATAGGCTTAGTACAAGTGGAGCTGCACCAATGACTGGCCAGACTACAGCAGGCCTCTCAGTTACAATAGATGGACTTACTCCCTATACTTCTTACAGTTTTCAAGTTGCTGCAAGGACTAATGATGGGACTGGACCGTACAGTGTGGTTGTAACATCAACAACACAAGAAGCAGGTAATCTATGTTTCCTGTTGTTCTTCCTAAAACTCAATCCCCTATCTCCATCTTCTCCTTCTTAATTGGGTTTGATTCTAATTTGGGTGCGGTTGTCTTGCAGTTGTTTATGGATTCTTTACACAAATAATCCCTTGAGCAAAACAGACAAAAACGCCGGGAATAAAGGAAATTTCTTTAAACCACGGAAGTTTAATTCCAATAAGCACTCATTATTGGTTAATTGTTTCTTAGTGCACGGTGCCGATATTTATATATCAGTTGCAAGAACAAATCAAATATTCCTTTTGGTGTTCAATTTCAACAGCGCCCACAGTTCCCCTCAATATTCAAATCCAGTCGACAGATGACGTGTCTGTCAGTCTTGGTTGGAGTGAACCAGATCCACCGAATGGACGCATCACGCACTACAATGTTCGCTACTGGAGGAGTGGGGACATGGGGACCATGCAGACTGACTCCAATGTGATGGGGCTGATGTATCGTGTCATGGGCCTTGCAGCCTTTGTAACATACCAAGTTCAGGTGTTTATTTATTTTGTTTTTCAAATGAAAAACACTATCCCCATTATACGTCTCCTGGTCGAAACTTACATCTTTCCAACACAAACATACAAGGAACAGTTTCATTGATGATTGTAATTATTTGGCTTATGGCGATGGCTTTTGAAGCACAGGTCATTTTATTTTTTTTGTCAGAAAGATTGGAATTGCAATTAATAAAAGAGTTTGACAAATTGTTCCCTATTGTTTTCAGGTGCAAGCTGTGACGTCTGCTGGTGCTGGCCCTTGGAGTGTACAAATCGACGTAACAACAATGCAAGCTGGTGAACTAACTCTTTCGTTTTCATCTAAGTTTTTTTTTTCTTTTGCATCAGAACTTCTATATTTCTTTTCCAATCCAAACTCTTTTTGTACCCCCAAATTGATGTAGACTTCCGATTGATCGTGTAAACGCTAAGGTGTGCAAAGTAAATCTAAACGCATAGGCCCAGTAAATAAGGTTATTGTCTCGATGTTCAATTCAACAGCGCCCACAGTTCCTTTAGATGTTCGCATAGAGTCGACAGATGACATGTCTGTCAGTCTGGGCTGGAGTGAACCAGATCCACCGAATGGACGCATCACGCACTACAATGTTCGCTACTGGAGGAGTGGGGACATGGCAACCACGCAGACTGACTCCAATGTGATGGGGCTGACGCATCGTATCATGGGCCTTGAAGCCTTTGTAACATACAAAGTTCAGGTCTTTATTCATTTTGTATTTTAAATGAAATGCACTATCCCCATCATACATCTCCTGGTCGAAACTTACATCTTTCCAACACAAACATACAAGGAACAGTTTCATTAATGATTGTAATTATTTGGCTTATGGCGATGGCTTTAGAAGCACAGGTCATTTTATTTTATTTGTCTGAAAGATCGGAACTGCAATTAATGATAGAGTTTGACAAATTGTTCTGTATTGTTTTCAGGTGCAAGCTGTGACGTCTGCTGGTGCTGGCCCTTGGAGTGTACAAATCGATGCAACAACACTGCAAGCCGGTGAACTAACTTTTTCGTTTGTGTTTAAGTTATTTTTTCTTGTGCATTAGATCTTCAATAATTCTTTTCCAACCTCAACTATTTTCGTACCCCGAATTGAGTTCGACCTCGGATTGATCGTGTAAACGCTAGGGTGTACAAAGTAAGTCTAATGACTTAAGCATAAACACATAGTAAATCAGAAATTGTCTTGTTCAATTCAACAGCGCCCACAGTTCCATTAGATGTTCGCTTAGAGTCGACAGATGACAGGTCTGTCAGTCTGGGCTGGAGTGAACCAGATCCACCGAATGGACGCATCACGCACTACAATGTTCGCTACTGGAGGAGTGGGGACATGGGGACCATGCAGACTGACTCCAATGTGATGGGACTGACGCATCGTATCATGGGCCTTGCAGCCTTTGTAACATACCAAGTTCAGGTGTTTATTTATTTTGTTTTTCAAATGAAATACACTATCCCCATTATACATCTCCTGGTCGAAACTTACATCTTTCCAACACAAACATACAAGGAACAGTTTCATTGATGATTGTAATTATTTGGCTTATGGCGATGGCTTTAGAAGCACAGGTCATTTTATTTTATTTGTTTAAAAGATCGGAACTGCAATTAATGATAGAGTTTGACAAATTGTTCTCTATTGTTTTCAGGTGCAAGCTGTGACGTTTCCTGGTGCTGGCCCTTGGAGTGTACAAATCGATGCAACAACACTGCAAGCCGGTGAACTAACTTTTTCGTTTGTGTTTAAGTTATTTTTTCTTGTGCATTAGATCTTCAATAATTCTTTTCAAACCTCAACTATTTTCGTACCCCGAATTGAGTTCGACCTTGGATTGATCGTGTAAACGCTAGGGTGTACAAAGGAAGTCTAATGACTTAAGCATAAACACATAGTAAATCAGAAATTGTCTTATTTAATTCAACAGCGCCCACAGTTCCTTTAGATGTTCGCATCCTGTCGATAGATTACATGTCTGTCAGTCTGGGCTGGAGCGAACCAGATCCACCGAATGGACGCATCACACACTACAATGTTCGCTACTGGAGGAGTGGAGACATGGGAAACATGCTGACTGACACCAATGTAGTGGCGCTCATGCATCGTGTCACGGGACTTGCAACCAGTGTAACATACCAATTTCAGGTCTTTACATGTATTCACTCTCTTTTATTCTGACTCATCTATCGTTATTATACACGATGATTCTCCAGAGAGGAACTAAGGTCTTTCCCGCAGCTTCTTTAATATCCATCAGTTAACTACATCTTGACACAATCAATAATAGGAATGTTAATGTTCACATACATTATTTGCGATCTATTTCGAAATGAACAAAACATAACTTCCAGAATTCAAGTAATTTTAAACAATTCTGTGTGATGTTTTGAACCTAAAATAAAATTGTAGGGTTTTAACACAAATTTTCGCAGGTGCGAGCTGTGACGTTTCCTGGTCCCGGCCCTTGGAGTGACCCTACCGAAGCAATGACATCAATCGGAGGTAGACAATCGTAAACAATTTTTCCCATTGTATTCATAACAAATTAACAAGTAGTTTCCATGGTCGCTTGGTATTCTATAAAATATGTGCTCATCATATAAAAGATATCACCATTATGTGATCTTTTTTCTTTAGTTCCTGGACCTGTTCAGGATCTAAATGTCACAGTGAGGACAGAGACGTCAATAACTTTATCCTGGATCCCACCCCTGCAACCTGGAGGAGTCATCACTGGTTACATAGTATGTTATTTCATTTTTTTATCAATGTCAGGGCCCTATGGAAGATCACTGAATGGTGAATATACTAGGCAATCATGGATAAATATTAGAAATAGATTAGTGTACCCTTTCGAAATTGTATCCTGACGTCGAGGTTGTGAGCATTTTGTGTATTACACCGCGACATCTAGATATAGTATTAAAGGTCCTTCTCCCTTTTGTTAAACCAGCATCCATAAATAAAGGGATTATAAAGAAATCAAGCTCTCAATCTATAGTTTTCAATTCCCTTTTGTTAGGTGGAGTACCGTATCTTGGAGAGGCCTTATCAACCAGACTTCACAGCAGAGGACACATACAAAACCAATGATGCTCAGCATTCACCCTTCACAATAACCAACCTGGAACCTGTTACTAAATACGAGTTTAGGGTGCTGGCGAAGAATGAAATGTTTACAGGAAATGAACACCGAATGCTGGAGGTTTACACAAAGCCGATGACAGGTACACGTATTTTCAAGTACATGATATGATTGTCAATACGTATTAAACCTGTGCAATACGTCCGATAATCAAGACGACTTCATGAAAGCGGGGTTTAAATCCGTTTGGAAATGTATACCGTTTGGCGACTACAGTGAAGATTGTCTTGTTGGGCCTATGTAGTACATTACAGAAAGGTTAGTTAGATTTCAATTTCCTGTCAAAGAGAAAGATACATCGGCTAAGAACGAAAGTTGACTGGACCTCATAGGAATCGACAGGTGTACACAAAGCCACAATCAGGTATGATGTCTGTGTCACAGTTTATGAATATCAGTCGACGATAAACTGAAAACTGCCGTACAAAATATTTAAAAACACTGACTGGTTTCTCTGTGGGTCTTGAGAACTGACTGAAACTTCTACTTACATTGAAAAAACAAAGGCAGATTATTTCCCCTTTGGAAAAGATTGTTTTGTCCGTTGTCCTGGGCAAATTTTCGTTCAATCAAGGAGATATGAACACGTCCGTATTTCATTATATTTAAAGGGTATTTATCAGTGCGTAGAACAGTAAATGATCAGCGATGGACAGCTAAATGACAGTGTTTATTAAAATAGACATAAGTTGGGAATGTGGTATGCGAGTTACGTGAGATTGTCACAGTTACTGGTCAATTACATATACTTATGCATGGTTTTTTTTATTAAATGTGCGAGCCACACATTTGAGAAATGATTTGTTCTCATTCCGGCACTATCTTTTGGACTCACCCTGTATGACATTTTGTTCTCAGTGCAAATGCCATCAGCTAGTGCCGCCGTCATTGCTGCTGCCGTGCTTGGTGCGATAGTTTTCGTCTTGGTCCTAATGATTGTCATCGGGTGTGTGGTGTGGAAAAGACAAACTCGCCAAAATGCCACAAATAGTTATCTAGTGCCCACAGCTATGGAACTGGTAAGTGACTTCTAAAGACATGCGATTTGCCACTACGTTTTTCATATGATTTTTGTTCTAGTTATGAGCTGTTAATCTGTTACAGGCACAAAATAGTGACTGATTATTGCATGAGTTCATGCTCTCAAACTTGATGGGTACAGTTCACAAGAAACTAACGCTAACCAAATACTCTTCTACCTAATACAAATTTTGTTTTGATCACTTAAGCTAAGTTAATTCATAACAGGTGTTTTACTCACTTTCAATCGTTGTCACCATTTAAGTCGACAATGGACCGATCCAGTAAGCAACGCCCCATGGTATTCTGACCAATCACAGCCGTGATTTATGTCCGACATGCGTGCACAAACGTCCGACATGCGTGCACGCGCGTATGATGCGCGCGGCAGGGAAATGCAGTGTGGCATTGGAGAGGAGCGAGTGTTAATTTGCCCACGTGCGCAGTGGGAGGAGCTTACTGGATCGGTCCATTGTCAGCAGACCCTTAAACTAATATTGATTTTGAAGCGTCACGGGATTGCATTGCATTGTTTTCGTTATTCCCAAAGGGTGCCAAATCTACAACCCACGAAAGTGACTCACCAAGTGCTGCCAACCCTGACGGCGAGATATACGAAGATGTTGGGCTTCCCTCCTGGGCGCGGAAACTGGAAATCAAATGGGAGAATATGATCATCGATGATGAGATTCTTGGAAAGGGTAACTTTGGCGAGGTACGGGCAGGAGGCGTGAGGATCAGAGGCCGAGTCACCGAAGCAGCCATCAAAACTCTCAAAGGTAACTGTACTCATGATTAGGATAAACACATCATAATTGCTGGTCTCAGCGGGCCATTCATGTGCTCTCTTACTTCCTGGTGTACTCACCGACTGACTCACTCAGTGACTCACTGCATGTCACATAATGATCCCATCAGAGATGGAACAAGTCACCCTGCAACAACGATGAAGGGGCTATGAACAGATGCATGATGAGGCTTCAAGGAATAGCCATGTTGAAACAATAGCATACAACTGTGTGCGTTATGCAACCACAGACTAAGTGAACAACTGACTGAAGTTCAGATAATGTCCTAACTCAAGGCTTTAGTTTCCAGCTTGGCAAACCTTGCGTTGTTCATCAATCAAGTATTGACGATTTGACTTTGCAGTTTACTTGGTAGTTTACTTGGTCTTGAAATATCTACAGTCCTTTCCACACTCATATAAATAAGTAGAATTACAAAAAGATGTAACTGCAAAATATTCAAACATTTTAGGACTGTTTTTTTTTCTTTTCTAGATACAGACAACACCTCTGATGCTGCTGTGGATTTCAAGGCGGAGTTGCAAACGATGGTGGGAATAAAACCACATCCGAACATTGTGCGTCTCCTTGGCGCATGTTTTTATGAAGGTAAACTAATCATGATTTCTATACCAAAAGACAACCCAATGTTTGACATTTTGTAAATACTTTCCACAATTTAAGACTGGGCATTTGGCAAGGTCAGAATTGAGCAAGTAAAGCTACTGGAATAAAATATCTCTAACATTAATGTTATCAACGGAAATTTTACCTTTTAAAGTTCAAATTGCATAATTTATTTTGATTAAAAACAAATAATACCGGTTACTCTATAACATCAATAGGGCTTAAACGTTAAGAACACAACCAATCAAACATTTTTTACTGCTTGAAATCAGACAAGAGGACATACTTTTAGGTGGAAAGCGTAAGTATATTGGCCGACCAGACTTTTGTCAATCTGAATTTGGGTTACCCTATGTAGAATCACAGAATGAAGCAGGGCAAGTTCAAAACCATTGTCTTGTAATTTATTGCAAGGTGAGCTAAATAGTTTGAGAAACGACAAGTAATCCTAGTTAATCTAGCTTCGATATAGCTTAAACGTTAATAGGAACTGTTACGAAATAGACACGTGGACATACTTTTAGGTAAAAGGGCAAAGTGAATTGGCCAACCGGACTTATGTCAATCTCAAGTTTGATAACCTAACGCAGTATCACATCATGAAGCGATGTTTTTTTCAAAATAAAAACCCCTTGTAATTATTTTTCTTATCAAAGGCATTCTGTATGTGGCGCTGGAGTTTCTTCCCAATGGCAATCTTCGTGATTATCTGAGAAGCATTCGCCCGATGCAGAAAGGAGCTGGCCACTCAACTGACGGAGCATCTCCGGTGACTTCTTCAAACTTGTTGAAATTTGGCACAGACGTTGCCAAGGGAATGGATCATCTGTCCAAGACAGGGGTAAAGTCTATATTCCTTCATTTTAAATTATTCCATCTTTTGTGTGTGTTAGTTTGAATACCACAGCTCTGTCGTGATTCTGATCACTTTCAGAATCGTCATATGCCATTCTATCTCTACGAAATTCCTAGGGAAAATGCCCTTTTCCATAGGCTAGTGTAGTGACAGGTGTATGTTTGCTTGAGGCTTGCAGTAAATGTTCTGGAGGTCACCTAATTGTTAGATAATTGCAAGTGGTCGATTGAAATACTTGTCCTTTTTATAGATTATCCACCGTGACTTGGCTGCAAGGAACATACTTCTGGCCGACGACCTGACCGCCAAAGTGTCTGATTTCGGCCTTTCACGAGGGGAGGACATCTACGTTCAGAAATCCTCGGTAATGTACGGAATGTAGAATCATCTTTAAGGGGCTACGTTAAATGATAATGACTAATCATACCAGAGAAATAACTTAATTTTAGTGAACACTGTAACAAAACATCTAAAGAATTAAACACACAAAATTATCGGTGTTGTTCGGTGTCAATCAAGTATCCAAAAAAGACGATGTTTACCGATCATACATTCGGGTGAAATTCTTTCAGTTTACATATGGCACCTCATATCATGAACAGAGTTAAAATATATGTTCTTTTGATTGTAGACAAGGATTCCCGTTCGCTGGTTGGCCATCGAATCTTTGACGCGTCGTGTCTACAAGTCCAAGAGTGATGTGTAAGCAAAAGCAATATACTTTCGTCACAGAATTAAAATCTCACGCAGTTATTTTAGAACACACACAAAAGCTTCAAGTAATTTGTTAATTTGTCCAAAATAAGTCAAGCAAAAATGAGTTTCTGTCGTATTGCTGTTAAAGGTACAGTCCATCATTTGTAATTTGTGCATTTTGTTCGTTTGATTTTAATGTAACATAATTTTGTCACAGAATTTGATTCTCTCAATGTTACTTACTTTTGAAACATAGTATTTAACAAAAGTTGCATTTGTGCTTTGCCGTGCACAAATATGGGCTACAAGCCTTTTGTTCATTTGTCTTAAAAAATACAAAGCAAAAAGCATATGAACTCTATATAATTATACCGCTGCCAAGGAGGTTATGTTTTCATCGGATATAGCTTTGTTTGTTGGTTGGTCAGTTTTTTCGTGTGTCTGTTAACAAGATAACTAAAAATTGGGCGGATTTGCATGTAACAACGTTTAAAGGGGGCCCTTGCTACAAGTACAAATCGATCAAATTTTGCCTTGGCGGAAGTTTTCTAGTTGAATATGAGTTTAAAATCAATGATTTTCATTGTTTACCTCAATTTTCTATCCTAGGGAAAACAATTCAATCGTCTTGCTAAAGTATTCCCATTTTCATATTAATTTTGCGAATCATCTGTTCGTCCTCTGTTAATATTTTAGGTGGTCGTTTGGCATCTTGCTGTGGGAGATAGCAACATACGGTAAGTTGTGTAAGCTGGGATAACTCTGTACTGTCGTAAAATTGCTGCTAATGCTAACAACATGGTACTTATTAATCCAATTTACAACTATTAGTGGATCATTGCTCTTAGGATCCACTCCGTACCCTGGTATTGAACGCAAGTCACTGGCCGAGAGATTGCTCGATGGATACCGCATGCCCAAGCCGGACAACTGCGCTGATGAAATGTAAGGAAAAACTCCACTCTCCTTTAGCAGTATAAATACAGATTTCGATTTCGATTCACCAATATTCACTGAACTATTCGAACATAAACCTTGCAATAACTATTGTTCTGATAATGATAAGTAAGAATTAATTGTAAAACAAAAAGGCAACAATTTCAAGTGAACAGACGATTTTCAGAAGTTTTCTGTGGGCAGCGATGACGCAGGTATTAGACGTTCAGACCTACTTGAGTAACTGTGACAGGTGTTGATTTAGACTCTCACTGGGACTTTCATTTTAGTTTTCTTTGTATTTGTATTGATTCAGTTATAATCTGATGTTGAAGTGCTGGCAGGAGGTGCCAAGTAAGCGTCCAACCTTCAAAGTACTCTACGAAACTCTCGAGAAAATGAACTCTAAATCGTATGAAAATGTAAGCATCATGCCGACTTGAAAATCAAATTTCATGAACACTTTTCAGGTTACGGATGTCATAAATATTAGATACATTGGATATCTTCTTTTACCGAAATGTACGACAGATGCAAATGGCAATAATTATGTATTTGTTTGGCTATTTCTCTCAGAACATTAAAGTGAACCGTGTTTTCTTTAATATACAGATTTTGTTTCGTTCATTACTTTGAACAGTAAGGCAATGCAATATTTTTGATTTTTTGAAGGTTGTCTTGTCACCGACTGTCTACGAGAACTTTATCATCAAGCATGAGTTTGATGACAACTAGATGACGTCAATATCTTTTGATACGCTGTAATGCATCATCTTCGAAAGTGGTTCAGCATTTTTCCCGATTGTTTTCAAGTGTCGGATTTGAGTGTTAGCATTAACGCAGACTTTTATTTGGTAACAATGTCAAGTAGAATATTTTAATCATCTTATGTCCTTGTACTCAGTGGACCTTAATTCATTCAGGATTTAGCCTCTTATATATTTGGAACAAGACTTACTAAACTTACATTTATTATCAAATTTACAACTCGGTTTAGAGTAAGCATTTACATTATGTTAAAAATCGTAGTAGGCTGGTTAGAATGTAATATTGTATAGCGAGGACGTACCGATGTATTGTGTATAATTCACTTCTAAATTATTGCCATTAAATCAACAGTTGCATTGTATAGCGAGGACTTACCATGAAATACCGATGTTCTGTGTGTAGTTGACGCCTGAACTATTCAACTTTTTGTGTAACGCGGGGATATTTTGTATTGTAAAATAAAGTGATATCAACATTATCTACTTTGATTAACAATGGTGTATGTACAAACCATTTTGTTATTTTCAATATGAATGTAATACTGAATAATCTACTCCTTAGGTAGCTGTTGGTACTGATAGAGTTTTTGTCAAAACAAAAACTTGCAAAATATTTTGGACACATTAGTCAAGCTTGTTTCTTCTTTGTATAAGTTTGTTGATATCGTATTGAAGACAGCAGATCAGTGGCATATTTGTGTGGCCCAATGCAGTTTTACTTATTGTTATTGTCAAATGATGTGTCATCAACATTATCTACTCAGATTAACATTAAGACTAGATGATAAAAAAAAAAAATCGTAATGTTCAATTACTGACAATCTTTTTATCTACTAATCAGCTGTTATTAAACAAAATTTCTTGAAATGTTTCAATGTTTTCAAATTTTTCTTTTTTTTTCAAAAAGATTCTCAAGGCTTAACGCACGTTTAATAGCGAATTTTCGAAATTTATTGTCCATAGTTGTATAAATGTAATTTCAACATTCTCAATCTTCGCAAATATTTGTAGTCCAAAAGATCATGAGGTTTTTGAGAATCGTAATTGTTCAGATTGATCGGTCTTTGCTCTGTGACATTAAAGACTGTGTTATGTCGTCATATTTAATTTAGTATTCTATCTAATTCCTTTATTGTTCCCTATAGTTTGACGCCTTTTTTGAAAAATCATGACTGACCATACAAACGGGGGTTAAGAGCCCCCTTAAGTGGCAGTGTAAGATCAAGTTTTTAAAACTACAGCATTTATTTTTTAGTACATGGCTTAATTATTTGTCATTGATAACATAAATTCAAACATTCTGATTGCTAGCCTTAACACAGTTTTGCCACCGTCAATTTAACGAGTATCAGTGGCGTATCCAAAAGGGGTGACCAGAGGGGGCACTTTGCCCCTGGAGGATTTTTTTTTTACATTTTTTTAAGTTCAGCAATTATTTCAATAAATGGTTATAGACGTCAATCCCAAAAAAATAAAACCAGCTCAAAAACCATTACAATGCGCCGTGAAAATGGGTATATAATTTGCAGTATGCATAATAATGGTCTGTTTGTGAAGAGCGCCCCCATTTAGAAGGTGTACTAGCGCCCGCCCCGCCCCCCCCCCCGTTTTTTTTTTGATTTTACGGAGGCCAAGTGTCGGAAGAAAAAAACTATGTCTACATTTCGGCGCGGATGTGCGGTTGCCCCCCCCCCCCCCCCCCCCCCCCCGACATCCAAAGCTGGATACGCTATTGACGAGTATGGATATTTTATTCTTTCAAAAAGCAAGCCGATGATGCACTGGAATGGCGTAACGAATAAAGAGTAAAGTGAGGGAAAGAAATTCTCCCATCACAAATTCATTTCATCGGTTATAAATAAGTTTGATGTATTTTTGTCAGAGTTTTCATTGTGCGCGAATGGTTGTCTTGTTTGAAGTAATATCGCCCTCTGTCGGAACGTTTTACGTGTCAAATGAATAGCGTCCTCTATTATGAAAGCTATGGGCAGTTTATTTGGAAGTTGAAGTATAGTGACTTCGTTTAGGGGTAATTGGAAATTACATTTGATGACCTCAAAATATCTTTGCGCTCTAATGGATAGATTTAAATCCACCGGTTCAGAGTCACACACGTCCACTTGCTCAAAATACCGGATATACGAGAATGTACGGGTACTGAACGTGGCTGAAAGTTGCCCTCACGTTTCTTTTTTTGCTTCAAAAGATTTTGTGGCAAATGATAAGCGCCGATCATTCGTGGGGCAACCGAATATTGCCTGTAGCTCGCAACTGGTTGATACGTGTCATGTGAGGGCGCACATCTATGAGACTTTGCTCATCGCCACTGCAGAATGTCAATGACCTTTACTTTCTTTTGAGCTAATTTGAGACAATTTTGTGCACACGTCCTGTACACAAGCACTATCAGTCAATGGTGGCTTTTATGAAGGCGATGACCTCGAAGCCTAACAGCACCCTTGCAATCTCACCGCTTGAACCAAGACTACCATTCGAGCTACATTGCGAACAGGAAACAAATGTGTAGAAAATATATGGGCATTTATGCATACCGAGAAATGCTGCATACCCACTACAATGGATGCCGAAAATAGAAGCAATGACGTAAGCCTACTCAGTGGGGGACGGAACGGGGAATTCCCTGGCATTGTAAATGTTTCTTACAACCCGATTTTATATGTACGGGACCTTAATAAACACATGGTTGTGTGAGCTTCTGTACACTTTCACTATGCAATCAATACCCAACCCGTGCAAGGCCCGATTTTTCTGTCAACATATCCACATGATAACTGAATGAAGCATGTATCACGTACAAGTTAAATCTCACTGTTGAAAAGTTTAAAGGGAATATACATCATTTGCTTTTGCTGTAATTTTTAGAAATGGATGGAATTGGGGGGTTGGAAATATATAGCAAATATAGTTATACTGACTTTTTTGAAGTTTTGGGTTCAAGACTAAATGATACAAAAACATGGAATCGTAATGTTCAATTACTGACAATCTTTTTTTTATGTACTTATCAGCTGTTAATTAGGGCAAAAATTTCTAGAAATGTTTCAATGTTTTACAATTTTATTTCGTTCATTCTTTGAGAATGATTCGCAAGGCTTCACGCACGTTATAGCGAGTTTCAAAAATACCACTTTTCTTGAAAATGACAGTATACCAAGGTGCCATGATTTTACAGGATGCTTTACACTGTCATTCATTAACAGTCCAGCAAGGTATTTCAAAATGATTTGGTAGTTTTTTTTTTTTAAGTTTGCAAATGTTGTATTTTCCCTTTAAGTAAACCCGTTCTTTCAATGACCTCACACAACTAAATCTCCACTTTGCACAGACTTGTTTTGCAAGTCCTGATCAGGTGTCGCTGAAATGTAACTCAGCACACATAACTTACTAAATGGTTTTCTAGGGAGAAAGGTCCCGCCTGACATGTTCTTTGATGTATGTCTGGTATTTAAACTTAAAGGTGAACTTTCTAAAAGTAAACTTTTCCCTCTTTACGTTTCTATTATAAACATTAGTATAATTATTAAAACTAATAATACAATAATTTCACCAATTGGCTCGAAATGGATCAAGAATTGACTGCACCACATACGTTTTAAAGAAACTTTTTAAATGTTTGTCAAAGGTTTTTTTTTACCTCTGCCGGTATCACATATGAAAGGTTCTATTTTGAGTTGATGAGGAGCGCTGAATTTCTTTAAAATGCAAATGTAATAATATAGCCTAGTCGATTACTGCAGTGACTAGGGCACTGCAGCGTCTGAGTTTTATTTCCTTAAACAGTGCACTATGTTCCTGTTCCTAATAAGAACTCGGACGACACGAATGTTATCTATTATATGAGCGACTTTCAGACAAGGAAGCGAATTGTGGGCCAGTGTTTGCTTTGCCACACAGCCCCGCTGGATATGGTTGACTCAAATATGAACTCATTTCATATTCATGGTTTTGTTATGATGCCTTTGTACTTTCTATAACGCATTCACGTCTACGTGAATATCTAATCTCCAACCGCAAGTTCAATCTGCACGTTACCTTTACACGCTTGGCTTACTCGCAACTGCGCATGTATTTTGTCTGTGAAGGAAACCAGTTTACTTTCTGTTCTGCGCGGAACATGGCGACTTTTGGGTTTCGAGTTGTGATCTGGTTAGTGAATTGACGTCCAGAAGACATATTTTCGTTAAACAAAAGATAAGATGGGTTCATCTCCAAAATATCTTCTCCTACTCCCGGTGTTTTTGTGGATTTGTGCCATTCTTCACACAGGTAAATATACAACTTCATATGTCAAAATTACTACCCGGAAATAAATAAATTTAATTTTGGTGTATGTGTAGTATGCCAAATGTGCATGTACTATGTACATATCGCCACTTTGTTTGAATGTTAGAGAAGGTTCTAAAGCAATTTGGACAAAATGGCACTGAGACACAAATACAATGGCCTTTACAATACTTCAAGCTTAACCATCCGGAACAATTCGTTGAATCAAAGGTTAGGAAAAAGAAAATAAATGCGGTGAAAACTTGAACGTGGGCACGTTAGAAATATTTACCAGATTATTTATAAACGCGGCTTCACCTCGCCCACTGTGCCGGGGGGGGGGGGGGGGGGGGCTCTGCCGCCTGTCGCCCGCTTCGCGATCGAGCAACTTGGGATCGAGCAACCTGCCCCCCCCCCCCCCCCCACATCCAAAGCTGAATACGCAGTATTGACGATGGAGGTTTTATTTTAAAAAGCAAGCCGATGATGCATTGAAATGGCATAACGAATAAAGTGTTAAGTGAGGGAAAAAATTCTCCCATCACAAATTCACTTCATCGGTTATAAAATAAGGTTGATGTATTTTTGTCAAAGTTTTCATTGTGCGCGAATGGTTGTCTTTTAGAAGTAATATTGCCCTCTGTCGGAACGTTTTACGTGTCAAATGAATAGCGCCCTCTAAATTTTATGAAAGCGGGCAGTTAATTTTGACTCATGTTGAAGAAGT